TTGGACCTGCTAAAATATTAATTTTAAAATGTAAGTTTTATGCAGTAATTTTTATATGTTTTTTTTAATTGAGTTTTGTAAATATTTCCTGTGATGTTTAAAAGTATAGTTGCAATTATTTTTTAAAGTGTTTTTTATTCATAAATACAATAAAATAATATATTTTTTTATCTTTTAAAAATTATTTTTGACATACCATATCAAAATAATATAAAAATATCAAAAAATATTAATTAAAAATAAAAAAATTAATTTTTTTTAAAAATATTTATTAAACACAAAAACAAACAGGGTCTATTTTATCCAAATATTATATATATGATTTTTTCTACACATAAATTTTAATTATAATTTTTACTAAATATATATCTAAATCTAATTAAATATAATTAAAAATACTTTTCTAAATTTATTTATTTTTCTAAACATATACAACGAAAACGTTTCAAAATTTTTCAAAGAACTCAAATGAGCACAATGCTAAACAATTTTTTCTCTTTCTGCGGTCCCAAGAGCGCACGTATTTTTTGCTCCATTCTCATTTCACTTTTTTACCTTTTTTATGTTTTTTAAATAATTTTTTATATTAAAATATATATTAATAATTTTTTTTTATTATTTTTTTTTATTATTTTTAATATTAGCACATCAAAACGATTCAAAACATATAAAATATATTAATTTTTAAAAAAATTAAATTTTTTAGAAACAAAATTTATACGCTATTAATATATTATTATCAATAACACTACCCTTTTTCTTTTAATTCTGTTTTTTACCATTACTAAAAATATTCTTATATAAAATCCTGATGTCTTTCCTGCCCGAACAATCTCCAACATCTGTGATACGCGTTCATATATAATTTCACAAGATTGGAAAAATCTAAAACAACAAAAGAAATTTCGAGTACCAAATTGAAATAAAAATAAAGTGTGAGGAATCTCCAACACCACAGACACGCGATAATATGCAACTCGAACAAAATGGAAAAAGCTAGGATACCAAACAAAGAGCTTTTGAGGACCAAACTAAAAGAACCTAAAGTTAGATGACTAAATTTAAACAAAAATAAAATATGAGGGACCAACGAAGGAAAACTGCACAATGATCAACGCCATGAATTGTGATATATATGAGAGAATTACACGGTCCTCTTTTACCAAACTTGATATTTTTTCCATCATGTTCAAGATGCTTGTAAATCTATTTTTTAAGAAATAATATCAATGAATATGGTTTTTATCTTTAATTATATTAAAATAGTAAATTCAAACTTTTAAATTTTTTATTTTATTTAATTTTAAATTAATTAAAATATGTATTTTGTTATTTGAGATGAGGTTATAAATATTTAAGAAATTTTTTTAAGGGTGAAATAAATAGTTCTCAAAGCTTATATCTTATTCCTTAGTCTTTGGATAGTTAGCTGCAGATGATAATTTATTTAGTAGTGTGGTTATAGTTATTTTTTAAATAATTTTTCATGCTAAAATATATTTTAATAATTTTTTATTTTAAAAAAATTATTTTGAATATAGCATATCAAAATAATTAAAAATATATTAATTTAAAAAATAAAAATATTAAATATTTTTAAAAGATGTGTTATCACCAAACTTCAAAGTGATTGACTTGTCATGCACCATGCAAAAAGACAAAAACAAGCCATGCTTGGGTTTCATGCGAGCTAGGTATATCTGGATCAAGCATTTATGTCCCTTTAATTTTGTTATTATCTCTTTTCGTATTTTATAATTAAAATTTTTTAAAATAAATTATTTAAATCATATTTAAATAATTACCTAACTATACTATTATTTTCAAATAATATCATTGTCTTTAATAGTAAGGCTAACAATAACTTTTTAAATAATTATATAAGAGCCTAACATATATAATTTTTTTAAATCCTATGAAATATCTATTTTTTTAATTTTATTAATTTTTATTAAAAAAATTTATGATTATTATAAGTAGACTTCTAATAAAAGAAAATATAAAAAAAAAATTATTAGTATTTCTTCATTCAATTGTGTCCATGGCCTCCTTCATCCAGGTCATTGCCTTTTGCCCTAAACTTAAATTTTTCTCTGCAACTAAACCTTTAATCTTAACATCTTTTTCATTTTGATCTTTAATCATCTAATTTCAAAATTGCATGTCCTTATGGTGTTTTGACTAGTCTGTTTGTGACCCAAAAACACTTCTTTTTTTGATAATTTTGTTCTGAATAATTTTTTGAAATGCAATGATCCTATACAAGCGCAAGCGAAAAAAATGTTACAGTATTATGAAACGAAACCAGTTTCATTAAATGATGATCTTCACACCCCTGCTCCTCCGGGGAACCAATAAGAGTTCTGAGAACACCCCATCTCTGTGTGGAAACAAACAGACCTAAGCCTACAGAGGAATACGTTTTCCTATTTCCTTGCTGGGAAATTTCATCATGCTCTCTACGTAAAAGCAGAAGAAAAAAGAAGTGTATTTTGCTATCCCCAAGTTTCATCAATCTCCATCCCTTCTGAGATTGAGAAGGAAATAAAGATTGGGTACAGTTGTTACATGACGGTCCAAGATTGTGTAAAGAAGCACTACGTAGAAATTCAAGGTAAAAAGAGTATTAAAATAGCTAATGCAATTGCAAACAACTTTTGCTGCATGATCAACAACAATTTGATGTGTAAATTGACCGGTCGAATTTTTCAACAGCCTGTGCGAATGAAAACATGGTCACTTCATAATAATTCACATGCTGAATGAAAAAAGTATCCATGGTTCAAGAACTTGAACCTGACAAAAACAATTGTTAATTTGACACCAAGCTCGACTTTTAGAAGACAACAGGGTAACAACCAAATGGGTTTTTGAATTTCTGTGAAACATGGAATCATTTCTAGCCAAAAGAAACAATTTCTGAAAGTAGAAAGTAGAAACTACCTGAGCTTTTTTTGTCATGGGAGCCTGGAATGTTAATTGGCAACCCATTTTACTGTACATTAATGCCCTGAAAACCTTGCAGTGCACTCTGCACACATAAAACCCATCGTGCTTGTTTGTGCTTCAGATTCGAAATCCTCCTGGCAAATCTCCCTTCCACACCAGACACACACAGCAGGTACGTGGTGCCTGCTTGCATTCTTTGCCAAAAAAGGCAAATCTCCCTTCTCAAGACAAACAGAAGAATCAAACCCTTGAGGCATAACTGCATCACATGAAACAGCCTTGGATTCATCTGAATGAGAGCTTACTTGAGAATTCAGAACATTATATTCCATATTTTCCATGCCACCTGATTTCGACCCTCCAAAACCTGATATAACACCATATGTCTCCCCATAAAGTTCACTTTCACCCTGTTCATTAACAAAAAATGATACATCAAGAATTCCATTGACTATATAACAAGCAAGAGTTTTTCACTTTTAAAGCTAAAGATAATGGTCATCACTCATCAACTCCTCACTGGAAAATAATTTATTTCCAAGTAAAAAGTCCCATTTCTCTAAAATATAACATAGAAGAACTTGAAAGAAATGCATGCCACAAACACATACATGAGAACCCTTGTATTGACAAGGAAACCACTAAAGATAAATTAAACACAAATGTAAGGGAAAAAGGTAAATCAGATCACTGGTTCCCGCTGCTGAAAAAATACTTTCCACCCAGTGATCTCAGAAAAAATAAATGCATTCCATAATTTTCTGAAGAAAAAAATGGAGCTACCATCTAATCCATTAGCATAACAGGCTAAAGGTATCAACATAAAGAAATTGCCCATACCATACCTTATCTGAAACCGCATCATACAGAGGAAAAAAACCTGATGCTTGCACTGGTTGACAAGTATCAGCAAAATCACATCGCAGGCCCTTTTCTTCATCATTTCTCCACATAAACTCAGATACGACACTTTCACTTGGTCCAGGGTGGCCACTAAAATCATGACCCAAATCATCTTTCTTAGAATTTTCTGTGTGCTTTACACTCGGCTCGTCCTGAATTGACCCTGTGAATGCTGCGTGCATATTCTTTTCAACACTCCGCATCGGCGCATCACCAGATAGACAAAGTACACTCTCTACAGAATCCATTTTCTGCTTCAGCTCGTCCATGGTGCCATTGAAGGGACCAGTTGCATTATCTTTAGCAGCTAATGTATGTTGATTCCCAGCAAAAAGAAAACAAATTTCCTGCACAGTGCCGGTCACAATATCTGCATCCTGTTCAGTGCCATTGTCACCAAAAGCAATACATAACTCTCCATTGCAGGAGGTTTTAGCTTCCTGCAGCTTGTCTTCTGCTAATGTAGAGCATGATAACCGATTCACACTACTCTCATCATCATGGGATTGCTCATTGTGAGATGGTCCATTTCCAGAATTTCTACCCTGACTAAGCTTCTCCAATGTGCTATTGCACATACCATAGTCTTTTGAAGGAAATGTTAGTCCATTTGTTGATGGAAAAAATGAAAAAATGTTTGAACTTCTTTCCTGCTTAATATTAGTTACGGTCTGCACAGATTGATCAATCTCACTGCCAAACTCATTGTTCTTAAGGCATAGAACTTCATTTTGATTAACCACATTTATTGTGCCCTTGGAAACCTTAATTACATTACCTTTTAAGTCAAATGATTGCTCATTACCAGATATAGTAAGCAGGCCACCTTTGTTCTCAATACCCGTTAAATCCCCTTTAGAACCTTTTTCCTGCATGGTTTCCACCGCATTGGAATTCAAATGCCCGACAGAACAGCCTTCAGAACTTCTTTGCTCCTTCAAATTAGCTGCAACATTCTCTGCTATTGCAGCACAAGAACCAGTAGCAGGCTCACCTTTTCCATCTGTATCCCAATCATCAATTACCATGTTATCAATTGTGCTAGAGCAATTCCTATCCTCAATAATGTCATCATTAAACATGTTCTCCTTGGCATTTGGAGCAAGTAAACCACTATCAGAACCTCTCTCCTGATTGAGTTCCTCAATTAGCCTAGGGGGAAACTGATTCAAATTTATACAGGCCAGGTTCCTTACATCACCAGCAACTGAACAGTCAAGTTCATCGACAATGTTGGTGCAGTACCTGGGAACATTTGCTTCATCAGAAGATCTATGAATTGCATTATTCTCATTACTCAACAAGGCTGGTTCTGAACAAACACTAATTTCAGCAGAAATGCCAGTAACTTCATTCATCTTCCCCATTTCATCATTGCTAATATTAGATACTCTATCCTGCTTACCACAATAGGCTTTCACAGAAGTATTTGCCTTCATTTCCCAAGATGGAATGGTGGAATTTATTGCACCATTGGTTTTAGTGTCAGAAGTTATTTCATCAGAATCCCTGTCAATGTCAATCGATGTTTGGATCTTTACAGCTCCAACAGGAATTTCAACAGATGTAGGTTCATCATTCTTTTGAGTGGTTACGTCGCTGGAAGCATCAAGTTTCTTGAAATGATCTTTTGCGTGGTTCCCAAGGTGGCCATTGAAGTGATGCCTTTCTTCAAAAAGTTTAAGACAAAACTGACATTCATATTTTCCATTTTTTATTATCACCTCTTCATTTGTTGATGTCCCACACTTAAGCTGTTTTGGAGACCGCTGATGAGATGATAGCAAGTGCTGCAGCAAGTCATCCTGCTCATCAAAAGTCAAGGTGCACTTGTGGCATTCATAATTCATCCCTGTTTGAACATCCCTCGGACACCCCCCTGTCTCAATAGATGTAGAGATGACAGGCAATGCCTTATAGCTAACAAAATCATTCTCAATCTTGCCATCTTTACATGTTTGATCTGCAGACTGCAGCACATGGGTAAGTAAAAACTACAGGGAAAGTTGAAATGCTCAAACAAAAACTATAAGTATCAACTTACAATGGATGCAGCTATTTTGTCGGTCAACTTAATCCTGCCATCCATGTGATCAAAATTCAACTGTCTTGCATCATGAAGTCCAGAAAAGGAAAGCAAATACGATGAAACTTCCTTGCAGGACACAAACGGCAGCCCATTAGGGCTGGATAGTATCGAATTAGGAAATGTAGGTAGGTAAGAATTACACAAGCTACAAAATATGCAAAATTAATTATGAAACATAAACTTCCTAGGGCTATATTGTATTCTGTGCCACTTAGAAACTGCAAAAATAACTGTAGCAGAGAACAATCAAGCCCTAATAGGGGTCCTGGTATACCATTTATCATTTACTAATATCCTATGAACCACAATGTGTAACGTCAATCAATAGCTAGAAATCCAAGTAGCAATTTAGGACTTCATTGTTATCATGAATAGTGACACGATAACAGTTGTCTGACTGACCTACCGAGAATAAAGTCAAAACACACATCCTCTACAATAGAAGATGACTGAAAAAGACATTGCCAATGGAACAAATGGAGGAGTGAGAATGTCAAGTTGAAATTTTTTTTCCAAGAGCATCACATACAGACAACATACAGCTTATTGAGCGAAATGGAGAAACATCAAGCAACCTACATGTATTGAGATTTGAGAGCAACTAAGATGGCAATGGCAGCTTAGATGGATGATGAGAGCAACGAGTGAAAAATATCCAGGGATATTAAAATTCAGAATTAGCAAGCCATCCTCCTTAAAATTAAAACAAAAAAAGTTATATGCAAAACTTCCATAAGTAAGCATAACTCTATTTAAATCTCTTTATCGCAAAATTTGTTCTCTTTGATGAGAATTTTCTTCCATGTTGCTATGCATATTTTAAGTGTCACTCTACTTTACTTGCTCATACAATAGCAGAACAACGAAAAACACAAATCAATTACCCTACATATTTACTCAATACAATCGGCAAAAACTACTATTTAGAGAGAGAGAGAGAGAGAGAGTAAGAAACCTTATGTATCTTGTACAAGCCAACCAAACACGACCGGCTTGCTTCTTGACGCAGATAGAGAGCTTCCACCCAATCGGCAGGGCATCCCCAAACAAGCTAGCATCCACAATCCTCCTCTTCTTTCTCGTACTCCCCCATTCACCCTCGAACCCTTCCAAAAACCCTAAAAATTCTGCCTTCAATTGCATTCCCTCCGTCCTCCTCCGCAACTCCTCCCCATACGGATCCTCCATATTCCCCAACGCCACACAGTCCACTATCACTCCATTCTTGCTCACCATCTCCATCTCCTCTTTCTTCTTATTCTGCACTTCCACATCGTCACACACAACAGCAATCGTTTTATTCTCAATTTTCTTCCTCTCTACTAACTCGTTATTACCCAAATCGACATTCTCATTCTTCCGTGGCCTGCCTCGTTTCCTTTTCTTTGAACTAGATTCAGCAATTCCAGTCGAGATCAAGTGATTTACCTCTAAGCTTTTTACTCCTCCTTGACTAAAGCCAAGCATTCCCTCCGTCCTTCTCCGCAACTCCTCGCCATACGGATCCTCCATATTCCCCAACGCCACAAAGTCCACTATCACTCCGTTCTTGCTCACCATCTCCATCTCCTCTGTCTTCTTATTCTGCTCTTCCACATCGTCACACACAACAGCAATCGTTTTATTCTCAATTTTTTTCCTCTCTAGTAACTCGTTATTACCGAAATCGACATTCTCATTCTTCCGTGGCCTGCCTCGTTTCCTTTTCTTTGAACTAGATTCAGCAATTCCAGTCGAGATCAAGTGATTTACCTCTAAGCTTTTTACTCCTCCTTGACTAAGGCCAAGCATTCCCTCCGTCCTCCTCCGCAACTCCTGCCCATACGGATCCTCCATATTCCCTAAAGCCAAAAAGTCCACTACCACTCCATTCTTGCTCACCATCTCCATCTCCTCTGTCTTCTTATTCTGCACTTCCACATCGTCACACACAACAGCAATCGTTTTATTCTCAATTTTTTTCCTCTCTAGTAACTCGTTATTACCGAAATCGACATTCTCATTCTTCCGTGGCCTGCCTCGTTTCCTTTTCTTTGAACTAGATTCGGCAATTCGAGTCGAGATCAAGTGATTTACCTCTAAGCTTTTTACTCCTCCTTGACTACAGCCAACATTTTGCAATTCCGCATTATTTGTACAAGGCAAACGCATATATTCATTATAGATGACAGGAACGGAGACTAGGTTATGATTATTCTCGTTGTTGCTTTCAATAAAGTGAGAATTAGAACCAAACAGCGACTTGAGAAGATAAATTATCTGTGAATTCTCTTCATCGAGAGGGTTTCGTTCGGTAATTTGAAAGGGAACAACAGGAGTTGAATTCGAAGAAGAGGAAGCGTTATTGTTGCGAGGGGCAAGGCGGAGGCGTGAGAAAGTTTGTTTGCGGCTACCAGCAGACTCGTTGAAGACTGAACGGTCGATTTTAGGAGTGGAGACGTCGGCGGTGTCCGTTTGGAGACGGTGGAGGGAGGAGGAGGAGGAACAGAAGGAGAGGGAGAGGAGTTCGGGTTGGGAAAGATGGCGTAGATCGATTAGAAGGAGAGATTCGGTGTGGACTTGATTCTGGTAGTTGCAAACGGAGGCGTCCACGGTGGCTGTGGCCATGACATCTATTTGAGAGAGATAGAGAGGAGATTATGTAACTGAGAAACCGTTGATGAGGATGAGAGAGAAACTGAAAAGGCTAAATGGAAGAATGGAGATGAGTTTTTGTTTGCGTGACTGGTTGGAGTATGACTGTGGAGGCGTTTTTCATTGCATTTCTACGGTGAGTTTTAAAAATATATTTTTTTAATAATTTTTATAGGTTAATAATTAAAATAAAAAGATTTATTCAATATAAAAAATATTTTAAAAAAATTGATGTTAAGAGGGTCTGTGACGAGTATATTTACATTTGGTTATTGGACCAAACTCAGGGTTAGTTGGTTGTTTGTTTGTAAGTGGTCTGGGCCTCTGGGGTGCAGTGACAGAGATATGTATTTTTAGCTATTTTTTAACATAGTTATTATTTAAAAATATATTAAAATAATATTTTTATTTTTTAATTTGTTTTTAATATTAATTTTATATGAAAATATTTAATTTAAAATAAATAAATTAGATTAAATTTAAAAAAAAAATATTAAAACAAATTATTTATAAAATTAGAATAAGTTGTGGAATGGCTATTGGGCATTAACTACCTTCAAAGTGACCGTCATGATTCATAAAGAAGCCAATCTCACTTAACCATAATCTCATTTGGCCCAATTATATTTGAACCAAATATACAAAAAGTAAAAGTAATAGTGAGAATTAGTGACTATGAGTGCATTATATTTGTTTCTTAGAATTCATTTCTTAAGAAATTATTTTTCAAATTTTTCTATATTTATTTGTCATTAGAAAAGTTAATCAACATAAAACACTTTCCAGTTAAAGAAAAATTTAGCTTGGTTTCCAAGAAAGTGTTTTCCTGAAAAATTTGAGCGGAAAACACTTTCCGGAAATTATAAAAAATTTAGAAATGTCATATTATTTGCTGATTATATCAATTTAGTTCTCAAACTTTTGATTGCTATATATATTTTGTTTTTAATATTTATTTTTTAATTTTATTTTTTAAAATTTTATTTAAAATTTTATTTTTATATTAACTTTGGACCTTATTTTTATAATTGTTATTTACTTTTTTCTTATTATTTTTTTATTAAAAAATTTTATCTATCAAATTTGATCCTCATCTTTATATTGTCACTTTTCAGGAATTCACTTTCTAAAAGAAAATAACTTTCCTACAAACAAATGGAGTCTTTGTTCAGAAGTAGATTTATAGGAATAACCATAGGACAAGAAGAAATTATTAGATATTATCTACGTCCGAAAAAAATAAAATTATTTATAGCTAAATTGATTATATTTTAAATTTATTTTTTAAAAAATATTATAAGTTTAGGAATTATAAATTTTAGGGTTATTAGTATTTTATATGGTTATTAACTTTAGTCTTTGTGAGATTAGTTGAAGTACACACAAATTGATCCGGATACCCACATTAATAAAAAATTATTATTATTAACATTTTATTTAATTTTGTACAAAACACTAAGGGGTATGACTAAAACATTATAGTCACATCAATAAAATATTATTTATTAGAATAATATTTTGTGTTTTTTTTTAATTTAATCCTTTAACAACTCAATTTTTTTAATTTTATCTTTTAATATTAATTTATTTTGAAAATTATACTTTGAAAATTCTTTTTATTTTCTTTATGTTAGGTTATATACCAGTCTCATATATTTAGCTTTTTTTCCTTTTCAATCTTAACCTTCAACATTATATCTTTTAAAAATAAGGCTTTATTTTTTTTCAATTTACTTCCTATAAATTTATATCGATTTTATGACCTAAATTACGAGTTTAATAGATTAATTCAAATCAACTCAAGTTATTTTTTTTGCTATTTTTTCTAATATATATCTTTTATTTAATTATTTAACATTGAGTTGGTTGTAAATTAGGTTTCATAATTTTTTTCGATCTTCTTTCTATGGGAATATCTCAATCTCATGATTCAGGTAGCAAGTTTAGAGGTAAATTGATTTTTTTTAATTGGATTTTATAACTTTTTTTTATTTGTTTTTTATGAAATTATCCCGAACTCATGACTTTAGTCACAAGTTTAGCAGGTTGACCTAATATTTTTTTTAATTTAATATTTTTTTCAATTTCACCCTCCAATAAATCAATCTTTTTATTTATTTATTTATTTTAATTTTATTTTTTAATATTAGGTTATTTGGGAATTGAGCTTCATAATTTCTTCAATTTGCTTTATGTAGAATTATCTCAATCTCATGGATTTCTTTTCTTAATTTCAATCTCAAACATTGGATCTATTGAAAATTAAACTTTGCAAACATTGGATCTATTGAAAATTAAACTTTGTGTTTTTTTTTTGTTTTTTTATAAAGTTATCTAGGTCTAATGACTTAGATCATGAGTTTAAAAGGTTAGTCCTAGTTGACGTGATTTATCTTTTTATTTTTTTATTTGATTTTTTTATCTTATCCTTCAACACATTGTTGATTAGAAATTAGGCTTGGTAATTTTTTTTATTTGCTTTTTATGGGTTATCTTAATCTCATGACCCAAGTTATGAGTTTGACATATTAATTCAAATTGATTAGGGTAGTTTTTTTTTTATTCTTTTCTAATTTAATATATTTTTTTAATTTTATCTTTCAATATTTGATTGATTAGAAATTGACATTTATAATTTATTCTGATTTATTTTCTTAAGGTTATCACGATTTTATGACTCATTTTGTAGATTTGACAAATTAATTTAGGTCGATCCAATATGTGACACTATGACAATCTCAACATTTAAAAAGCTATGACTTTGAATATACCATTGTATTAATATTTTTTTTTAAAATATCCAATATTCATCATATTTTAAGTTTATGATTAAAAAAAATCTTTATTAGAAAATATACTAGTAATGTTTGGACAATTGTTTCATGTTAAAAAAATTAATTTAATCCACAGCATAGTGCTGACGAATGATCTAACTAGCAAAATTTAAAAGAAGTGATGTTTTTAATGTGAATCACCTCATAAAATACTATTCATTCTGAAACAATGTTTTTTTTTTTTTCCTTTAATTTTTTTAATACTATTCATTCTGAAACAATGTTTTTTTTTCCTTTAATTTTTTTAAACCATGTTCTTTCTTTTATTTTTATCCTTTAATATTAAGTATATTGGAGATTGGGTCTCATGATTTATTGTGGTTTTTTTATGTGATTATCTCAATCTCATGACCCGTTTAATGGGTTTAGCGGGTTAATTTGGTTCGCTCAAGGTTTTTTTTCTTTTTTATTGATATTTTTTTTAATTTTATCATTTAATATTATATTGATTAAGAATTAGAGTTTATTATTTATTTTGATTTATTTTTTATAAAGTTATCTTAATTTCATGACTCAGGTCATAGGTTTTGTGAGTTAACACGACTATGTTTGGGTCATGTTATTATTATTTTTTTTAATTTCATCATTTACTAATGAATTTATTGATCATTAGGCTTTATAACTTGTTTAATTTGCTTTATATAGGATTATTTCAATCTCATGACTTGAGTCTTGAGTTTAACAGATTAACCTGAGTTGATTCGGGTCATTTTTTTTAATTGATTTTTTTTTCAATTTCATCCTTCAACATTGAATTTATTAGGAATTATAATTTATAATTTATTTTATATGAAGTTGTTGTAGTCCTATGACTCTAGTCATGAATTTAGTATGTTAATCTTTATTAACCTAATTTTATCTGAGTTGTTATTATCTATATGTTAAGAAAAATATGTCATCTTGAATTCTTTAGTCAAACTATATTTTTAACTATTATCCAAGTTCCCTGAATCCGCAAAGTTGACCAGGTCATATAAAGTCAATTCTTACATAGTTTAATTTTTTTAATAGAAAAATATTAATAATACCTGAATATTTCTTTTTACATTAAAAAAAATTAATCTAACTCGTAGCATAACATGAATCAACAATAGTAAAGAAACTAAGAGATGAGGTAAAAACATTATATCCACGTGCATTGCACTCCCTCTCACATTTCACTATAAACTAAAGAAGTGTTTCCTTTTTTTATCCTCAAAGTTTTTTTCCTCCTCAATTGAGCCCTTGAATTGCAAAATTGAAGGGAAATTCATTCCTATTTATTAATTAGGGTTTTCTTTGTTCTTTTTCCCCTATATTTTATCCTTTAGCCTTTTTTTATTTTTTTGGTTATTTAATTCATTTTCGATCCCCTAATTTTAAAAATATACAATTTCACCTTCTCTTATCAATAATCTATTTATTTTTGTTTAACTTAAAATAAAAAAGACTTTTTTTTTTGTTATTTAGCTTAAAATAATTAGGCCTACTTTTGCTACCTAAGTACCATACGCCTGTCTTAGTTATTTTGTTCTTTTAAAAAGTATTTCATACAAAACAATTATCATGCACTTTATTGTTGTATAATTATATATAAAAAAATAATCTTAGTGATAAAAGTTTGTTTTATTAAATATGGTAGCATGCATGACTTAGGTCGTGAATTTAACTAGTTGACTCGAGTTCACTTGGGTTTTGTTTTTAATTAAATGCTTTTTTTATTAGTTTCATCCTTCAATATTGTGTGAATTAAGGATTAAGCTTTCCATTTTTTTTATTGGGTTATCCTAACAAGTTTTGTATTCAACCCTAGTTGACTCAAATAAATTCAATATATTTTTGTTGTAATATTAAATAAAAAAATTGTTCGTGTGTCACTGTCTTAATATTAAAAAAAACAATTTCCAACGCGATGAATTTTGAATTCATGGTTAAAATATTTTTTTTTTAATACATTAGTAATGTTTAGACTTTTTATTGGAGTTCAAAAAGTTTTTTGATTTAACCCACGGTGTAGCGCGAGCAAGTGATCTAGTTAATAGAAACTAAAAAAGTTTGTGTTTTAACTATACATCACTTTGCAAAATACTATTCATTACAATAATGTTTGTTTTTTCTTTTTTTTAAAAAAAATCCATATTTTTATTTCACTTTTCAACATTTGATTTATTATAGATTTAGATTTGTTATTTGTTGTGGTTTTCTTTCTATATGGATATCCTAGTATAATAACCCATGTTTCGGGTATAATGGGTTAACATGGTTAACTGAGGTTTTCTTTTTCTTCTTTTTTTAATTTTATCCTTGATAT